AACAAATCAGTCAATTTTAACCTTCAATATTATAGTAATGTAGTACCAACTGACTCTCATGAATATTTTACAGCATTGGTTGAGAGATTTTTTTTTTCCCTTGAGAAAATTTGGTATGTACTGTACCTGATATTTATCCAAAATAATCGATATTGAATCGAATCGAATCGTGAAATTTGTGTCAAAACCCAGCCCTACTTTTTTGGTCTTTCTTTCAAACCTTTTTTCAAAATGTTGAACAAATTTGCAAACCATTTCAAATGTACAAATTACTTTTTCAAATCTAGAATTTTCTTTCTTTTCTTCCGAACATTTTCAAACTCCAAAATTTCCCTCCAACATTCTAACCTTCTTTTAAACTTACTTTTTAAAAACTTTCTTTTGAACTTTCTAACTTTTCTAAAATTTCCTTCGAGCTTTCAAAAATTTCTTTCAGACTGTCTTTCCAAATTTTGAATTTCTTTCTGGACATTTTCGAAACGTACACATTTTTACAACTTCTCTTACAAACATTTTGAAGCTTGTGAAATGTCCTTTTGATCTTCTAACCTTCTTTTGAACTCTCATTTCAACCTTATTTTGAAATTTCTCTCTAACCTTTGTACTTAAAATTTCAAATTTCTTTCCACCTTTCAAACCGTTTCCAAACTGTTGTGTTAACCCTTCTCTGCATATTTCAAACTTCATTTAAAACATTTTCACAATTTTTCTTTCTTTAAAATTTCCTTCCAACTTCCTAATCCTTCTATCATGTTTCTTTCTCAGTGTGTGTGGGTGTGCTGCACATTTGGATTTGTGAGTTCTGAATATTCCTCTTTTTAATTGTCATCGCAGCTGTTTTTTCATTTGTCGAGAGAGCGTGTATTTTCGGAGGATAGAACCCGTTTCTACGGCGCTGAGATCGTTTCTGCGTTGGATTACTTGCACTCTGCGAAGATTGTTTACCGTGACCTAAAGGTGAACACTGAACAGAGCACACAGACTAATATCAACATTTTCATCCTATGAACCTCAATTTTTGCCATTATCAGCTGACCGTAAGATGTGTCTGTGATCGGTGTGTGTTATTCCAGCTGGAAAACCTGATGTTGGATAAGGACGGTCACATAAAGATCACTGATTTCGGCCTGTGTAAGGAGGGCATCACAGACACGGCCACCATGAAAACGTTCTGCGGGACCCCGGAGTATCTGGCCCCTGAGGTACAGGATGATTTATCTCTTTAAATGCACACACGCTGGGTTCAGTTTAATATAGAGGACTGTTTAATCTCCGTCTGTCACAGCCAGAACAGGGTCACACTTTAGCTAGTGTCCGCACAGAAATAGACACAAACAGCAGGCTGTAGACAAGACAAGACTGAGCAGCTCACGGGTAAAAATAGAGGGAACGTAACAGTTACCCGCTGGCTGTTTAAGCTCCATTTTAATAATCGCATAAAGTACAGCATGTATAATCAACCGTGGTGTTGCATATGGATGCTGTAACGCCGACGACTCGTGCTGATGTCATGATCATAACTGTGTGATGGAATCATATGTCAGGCTGTTTTTCCATCATTGGAGTCATTTATCCAGGTTGCATCTACTGATGCTGCAATAATGATTGATTATTGATGTTGGTATTGGAGGAAAGTCTGCAAATGACTGCCAGTAGTAATTAATCAAGCACTCAGAGACAATTTTACATTATTGATCAGGTTTTGAGAGATAATATAACTGTTTCTGGATCAGCCGTCAGGTATCTGAGGATAATAACTCAGCTGTCAGAGACTGATCATGGATCAGATATGTCCATATTTTTGGAGCTGGTATTGGAGGATAATGGCATTATTGATGAAGAATGGGAAGATATTGGAGGTGGTTTTTGATCAGTTAATGGAGGATAATATTATTGTTAATGAAGAATTGGAGGATATGTGATTTTGATTGATTATTAAGGTCCTTGATTTTCATATGCGTTTTTTTTGTTTTTTTTTTCATTTTCGTCATCCTTTCCTATCACAATGCTTGCTACGGATGCGAAAACGCAGAAAATCAAACCTGATCCAAATTTTTTTTATGACGGACAAAAGTTTCGGAGGCAGTGTGTAAATGTGATTGACACAATGTGAGGTCGTATTTATTTCTTAACGTGCGAAAAAATTCGGACGAGATTTCTGACTTTGTGCAGGACATTTAGAGACTAATAGAATTATTAGAGATATTCATGTGATTTTTTTTATTATATCGATTATTAGAGACTAATATAATCATTAATGAATTGGGAGATATTTTTGTGATTTTTATTTTTTGATAGGATATTGGATGCTAATATAATTATTAATAAATAATTGGAGGATATTCATGTGACTTTTTTTTTAAATCTCTTATTAGAGACTAATATAATTATTAATGAATTGGGAGATATTTTTGTCATTTTTGATAGGATATCGGAGGCTAATATAATTATTAATAAAGAATTGGAAGACATTCATGTGATTTTGTTTGATTATTAGAGACTGATATAATTGATGTGGAATTGGATAATATTAATATGATTTTTGATCTGTTATTGGAGACTAATATAGTTATTAATGAAGGATTGGAGGATGTTCATGTGATTTTTTAAAAATTGATTATTAGAAACTAATATAATTATGAATTAATTAATGAATTGATATTTTAGTGATTTTTTTTTGATAGGATATCAGAGGCTAATATAATTATTAATAAAGAATCGGAAGACATTCATGTGATTGTGTTTGATTATTAGAGGCTAATATAATTGATGTGGAATTGGATAATATTAATATGATTTTTGATCTGTTATTGGAGACTAATATAGTTATTAATGAAGGATTGGAGGATATTCATGTGATTTTGCTTGATTATTAGAGACTAATATAATTATTAATGAAGAACTGGAAGATATTGATGAGGTTTATGTAAGGTATTATAAAATAATGTGATGTGATTGTTAATCAAGTGTTATTGGGTATAGCATTTGTTGGAGGTGAAATTAGAATGACTTATTGCTGCGTCTCTTGATGAAGGTGTGCAGGCGAGTGATGTATTGGTTATTGATCAGGCGTTTGAGAATGATGTGACGTTATTGATGAGCACAATGTGTTGTAGTTTTGGTATGATTGATCAGGTATCTGCGTGCACTGGTTTTATTGATCAGGTATTGGAGGACAATGATTATGGGAGAGCGGTGGACTGGTGGGGTCTGGGAGTCGTTATGTATGAGATGATGTGTGGACGCCTTCCCTTTTATAATCAGGTATGACTCACTCTAACACTAACAACACTATAATAAACATCTGTAGGATTTTTTTAAATGCTTTTAAAAGCCTCTTTTGCTCACCAAGGCTGCATTTATTTGATCAAAAATACAGTATAAACAGTAATATTGTGAAATATTATTACAATTTAAAATAACTGTTTTCTTTGTGAATATACGCTAAAGTATAATTTATTTCTGTGATCAAAGCTGAGTTTTCAGCATCATTACTCCAGTCTTCAGTGTCACGTGATTCTTCAGAAATCATTCTAATATGCTGATTTGCTGTAATACATTTTTTAGTATTCACTGATGAATAGAAAGTTCAAAAGAACAGCATGTAGAAATATAAATCTTTTGTGACCTAAATTTCTGTACTGTCTTCAGGACCATGAGAAGCTGTTTGAACTGATTCTGATGGAGGAGATCAAGTTTCCCAGAACCCTCTCTGCAGACGCCAAGTCTTTACTGTCTGGATTACTCATCAAAGACCCCAATAAGAGGTCGGTGTGTGAATGTGTGATCCAAAGCCTTTCTGGGTGTGTTAGTTTTCTACTAACAACTATTGACATCATCATCATCATCATTTCAGTATGAGAGCACCAGATTAAAACTGTTTGTGTATCATGTGAGACCTGAGTGAATATTATTCTGCGGTTTATTCTCTGAAGGCTCGGAGGAGGCCCGGATGATGCAAAGGAAATCATGAGGCACAGTTTCTTCACTACGCTGCACTGGCAGCACGTCTATGACAAAAAGGTATAAGTGTACTTACAATGGGGCGAGACATTTTCGAGTTCGAAAGCAGAAACGTAACACTATCGTTTAGGAGTCTGGGGTCAGTAAGAATTATTTGAAAGAAATGAATACTAAATTAATTAATACTAAAGACCATTATAATGTTACATAAGATTTCTGTCTCAAATAAATGTATTTTCTATTCATCAGAGAATCCTGAAAATAACAATATATCACAGTTTCCACAAAAATATGAATTCCTTTTTTTAACACGGATAATAATCAGAAATGTTTCTTGACCATCAAATCATTATATTAGAGTGGGGCTGTCAAAATGGCTGAAAAACTAAATTCGAATTTTGTATTTAAATATTATCAATATTCAAATTTAAAAGACATAATTTCATATAGGTGGAAAAAAAAGCTTTTGGTTTCTCTCTTGAGGGCACAAGAGGGCGCAATCAGCAAAATATTACTAATGCACATTTCTTCAAAGCAATAAAATAACACGACTACCTTTGAAAAAAGTGCATAATGTTTAAATTAATGTTTATAAATCATATATAATTAATTAAATAAACAATTAGAAACAAAACAGCATCATGCATGTATGTATAGTTTAATACAAAGGACCGAAAACCAATCACAAAGAGTACTTTTTCATTTAAAAACATGAGATGCAGTGGGATGGGGAAAAACCGCCATAAAGTCTCGAGACATATTTTTTAAAAGTTGAACTTGCATTAATTTTACATGGCTTTCTAAACATGTGGCTCTCTTGTGCGAGACGCGAGTGCAACGGTGATAGACGTCCCTCTAGAAAATGCGATAAATATGCGTTCTGTGTGAACGGCTTGGTTTCAGTTTTGACGTAAACAACATCATCTCCGCATTGATGCTCTCTTTTTCCGCAATATTTTGAATAAACAACGTAGCAGCGCCGCATCAGTGGGTTCAACTGGACAGGCTAAAAAAGCATTAAAATGCAATGACACCTACATCGTCATCGCATCTCGTGTGCCACTGATAAGGCTGCCTGACGCACACCTAAAATTCAAATGCAACGTTTTTGCAGTCGAATGTGGATTTATATTTTAAATTCGACAAATATTTTAAATTCGAATTTTTTTTTACAGCCCTATATTAGAATGATTTCTGAAGGATCATGTGACACTGAAGACTGGAGTAATGATGCTGAAAATTCAGCTTTGATCACAGCAATAAATTAAATTTTACTATATATATATATATATATATATATACAGTGGGTACGGAAAGTATTCAGACCCCCTTAAATTTTTCACTTCAAAAGGGTGCTTCTACTAAATACTGAGCAAAGGGTCTGAATACTTAGGACCATGTGATATTTCAGTTTTTCTTTTTTAATAAATCTGCAAAAATGTCAACGATTCTGTTTTTCTGTCAATATGGGGTGCTGTGTGTACATTAATGAGGAAAAAAAATTAACTTAAATGATTTTAGCAAATGGCTGCAATATAACAAAGAGTGAAAAATTTAAGGGGGTCTGAATACTTTCCGTACCCACTGTATATATATATATATATATATAATACACTGCCGTTCAAAAGTTTGGGATCAGTAAGATTTTTAATGTTTTTTAAAGAAGTTTCTTATGCTCATAAAGGCTGTATCTATTTGATCAAAAATACAAAAAAAAATGAATTTTGTGAAATATTATTGCAATTTAAAATAACAGATTTCTATTTTAATATATTTTAAAATATAATTTATTCCTGTGAAGCAAAGCTGAATTTTCAGCATCATTACTCCAGTCTTTAGTGTCACATGATCCTTCAGATTCTAATATGCTGATTTATAATCTATGTTGGAAACAGTTGTGCTGCTTAATCTTTTTTGTGACCTGTGATACTTTTTTCAGGATTCTTTGATAAATACAAAAGTTAAAAAGAACAATGTTTATTCAGTGTTACAATATACACTACTAATCAAAACGTTGGGGTCAGTAAATTTTTTCTTTCTTTTTTTTTTTTAAAGAAATTAATACTTTTATTCAGCAAGGGTTTATTAAATGGATAAAAAGTGATGGTAAAAACTTATATTGTTAGAAAAGATTTCCATTTTGAATAAATGCTGTTCTTTTTAACTTTTTATTCATCAAAGACTCAAAGAAAAAAAATATCACAGGTTCCAAAAAAATAGTAAGCAGCATTTATATAAAATTTAAATTGTAATATTTCACAATATTCCTGTTTTTACTGTATTTTGATCAAATAAATGTAGCCTTGGTGAGCAGAAGAGACTTCTTTCAAAAACATTTAAAAAACGACCAACCCCATAGTGTATTTTTGTTAAAGCACATTTAATTTGTGCGTGATTATGTATAATAAGCTGCTCTCTGTCTCCGTCTCGTCTCTTGTCCAGCTGGTACCGCCGTTCATGCCGCAGGTCTCATCTGAGACGGACACCAGGTATTTCGACGAGGAGTTCACGGCGCAGACCATCACCATCACCCCTCCAGAGAAGTGTGAGTGTGCCGTTTCCCTCCGTCTCTCTCTCTCTCTCACTCTCTCTCTTCCTGTAGACTGGCTCCTCGTGCCACAGGAAGAGGAAGTTCCAGTCGGTACACAATGAAAATGCGCATGGAGCGTATCACTGTGAAAATCAGTACGCCGCTTATCGCTAGGAAATTCCGATAGAATGCGGAGAGCGGTAGAAAATTCAATCGTCCGTCTGTGCGTAACGTAACATTTCCCTCTCTCTTCCTCCCCCGCAGACGACGAGGATGGGATGGACTCGGCCGATAGCGAACGGAGACCACATTTCCCACAATTCTCGTATTCGGCCAGCGGGCGGGAGTGATGTCATCAAATAACGCCGTTTAAGGAGCCCCACGTAGCCGTGCTAGAAACAGCCCCCCTCTCCGTTTAATTACCGAAAGTCATAGCGAGTCGTTTTTGTTGCTTTCTGTTAGTTTTTTGTGGGACTTAAAAGGGGTTTTGCACAGTTGGGTGAGACTTGAGCTGGTCGACCCACATTAAAAAGTCTTGTTCACTTTCAGCTTGTTGTTTACAGATCATGGACATTTTTTTTGGGGGGGGGTGTTGTGGTATGATCAGTATTGACCTGGAGCATTTTTGTTTTTTGTTTTGCACTCCTTTAAAAGAGCCGTTGTGGGGAACAAACCAAAAATGTTGCCTTATGTGTGTGGATCTCATCAGACAGACAGACATGTAGTTAGACACAGCAGTAGATCTGTTCCTGTGAGGCTCACGAATTTTAATTTGTTCTTGCATTTTTAGCACACACACACACACCCACATCCTCTGTCTGAGGCGTTGAAGAGTTTCGTTCCTTGTTCGTGCTTTCGGTAAATAATGAAAACGGAGAAAGTAGGGGAAATGGACTCTAGTGTTAATATTTGCGTTTCTCTTTTAGTTTTGTCCTCACGCTCTGATATGAAGGTTTCAGTTCAAATACACAACCATACAACAAACTGCCGTTATTGTAAAGGTCTCTCAGGCAATTCAGAGCACAAGTGTGAATCTCACGAAACCCGCCAAGAGCATGTCTGCGTCGTATTTCACTGTGAAGCCGTAAAGAAAAAAAAAAACTCATATTTTGCATGAGGAAAATTTAGCATATTTTTAGTATCATTTAGATGTTTTGCACCACAACATTTTCATCGCCATAATGCAACAAAAATCTCATCACTGCAAATACAGAAATATCATGTAATAATAATTATATAAAATATTATTCACATTTTATCTAAATAACATTCAAATGTTATTTAAAAAGAATAAAGATTTAGGTGTTTTGGTAACGCTTTACAATATGGTTTTATTTGTTTACATTAATACATTACAGTAGTTAACGTGAACTAAAGCCCCGTTCACACCAAGAACGATAACTATAAAGATATTAGCATCCACACCAGCGAACGATATGGTCTGTTTATTCTAAGCGCAGGTGCATCTGCCTCTTTAAATCCTTGAGCTCATTATAGCAGGATGGATTCTGATTGGCTGTCAGTGTTTTATCGTTCATCAGCTGGAAAAAATCATTCTGAAAGTGATTCCAACGATATCGTTTCTCTGTGCCTTTATCGTTATAGTTGTGGTGTGGACGCTGCTATTCTTTAATATTGAGAACGATTTTTAGAACGATATCTTTATCGTTATCTTTATAGTTATCGTGCTTGGTGTGAACGGGCCTTTAACAAAGAATAACAGTTATACAGCATTTATTCATCTTAGTTCATCCTAATTTTAGCATTAACCAGTACATTTTTAATTAACAAATTATTTTTGTTAACATTAGTTAATGCACTGTGAACTAACAATTAATTGTTATTAACTGACAAAGATTTAAGTTAGTTGGTAAGTTAGTATTAGTTGGTAAATTAACTAAAGTTAACAAATGAGACCTTATTGTTAAGTGTTACCAGTATTGATATGCTGTTGGTATTTGTTATTCTGACTTCAAAATAAATCAAATAATAATATACATTTTCTAAAAGTATTTTTATCATATATATAGTGAAAAGTTCAAAAAATCAATAATTTCCATCCATAATTTTTTTTTTTTTTTTTTTTTTTCAAAAATGGTAATTAAAAAAAAAACTGCAAAGTAAAACCTTTGTATTAATTAACTTGTTTGTGCATTATGGTAATGAAAATGTATGACATAATGTGCAAAAATCAAAATAGCCCTATTTTTTTAATCTAAATTCTAATTTCTTATTTTTATCTTTTTGGTGTGAAATACGACCTGCGCATGTTTTCGTGGGATTCACCCACAAATCTGCCCACCGACGTGGTGAAACCTGCCCGGATATGACTTCTTATGGCTTTGTCCTGAACCCCTCCCCTCTGACATGCTGAAGCGACCCTTTATAAAGCCCCTACGCTCTCCAGACCCGAGAAGCGTTCAGGACAGACGCGTGAAGGCTCATGCTGGGCGGCGCTCACCTTTACTGTACAGAGCTACAGGTGTGTGTCTCTCTCAGCAGCACAGAGAGAGACGATCAACCACTGACCTCATTCTTAGAAAAAAAGTTTTGCTTTCAATTTTGAAGCTGCAAGGGTTTATAAATGTAATTTTATATGTTAAATATAAATGAAGCCTCAATATATGCCTTAATATGTTTTTGTTTATATTTTATTATAACTGTAATATCATTATATATGCAGGATTTAACCTAAAACTTAAACCTATAAATTTAATCCGAAATAAATCCATAAATCTTTTTTTTTTTATATGAAAATCAAATATCAAAATAAACCAGCTAGTCTGTTACTAGAGGAACATGGCATTAAAAAGAAAAACTAAATTAGGCAGTTTTATTAAAGAAAATGCATTCGGTGCCATTTGCTTTAATTCAACCAAATAACAGTCAAACTAACAAAGAACTGTAAGACAGAAATATATATTCCTGACATACATAAAACTATTCTCAAAATCCCAAACGTCAATCCGGAAGAGCAGGAGGCCAGTCGACGTCAACAGACTGAAACACACAGACAGAAAGATAAAATCTTTGAGATGACACCAAGAGCTACTAAACTTATCATGCATCCAAAGCAGTTCTTGATATTACATATGAAATAAAACGCACCTCGACGTCCAGCTCTAGGATATCAGCGTCAGTTTTCATGAGGTCGCAGAGGTTGGGTATCGTGCGGCCAAAGTCTCCGTGCACGAACTCTTTAATGTAACTGCAGCGTTTTGCAAGTGAAGGGAAACCAATGCAACAATTTCCACAAAAATATGAAGCAGCACAACTGTTTTCAACATTTATAATAATCAAAATCAGCATATTAGAATGATTTCTGAAGGATCATGTGACACTGAAGACTGGAGTAATGATGCTGAAAATTCAGCTCTGCATCACCGGAATCAATTACATTTTACAATATATTCACATAGAATAAGAGTTATTTTGTTGTATTTTGTAAGGATACGTGCCGGCCTGTGTGCACAGCTTTAGGGTGAAGTGGTGTTTGTCCAGGTAAATGACTTCTCACCACACAGAGAGAAAACCTACTGTTGGACTGTTCCTGAAGATGTAAATACAAACCTCTCGCTCTTTTTACCGTCACTGTTACATTACCACTATTTTTGTTCTTGCGTAAAGAAGTTATGATCCTGTCTCCATAGCTGTGGAAATCTTATGATGTCTGCGTTTGGAATCAATACCAAGTCAGATCACAGACTCATTATATGTGCAACTGAGCCATGCAATAGCAGTGTGAATGACCCCTGACCTTTGACCCCCAGCGCTCCTGCGTGTGATGTACATATGCAATGACTTCTGTTTGTTACGCGTCACAACCGTTATCGTGTGTGACTAAAGTGAAAAAATATGAATTGAAAAATGACAGAATCATTGGAGGAACGTCTATCATGTGGGTGTTTCCATAGAGACGACTTGCTATGGTTTCAATCCCATCCTGTTTTACCTGATCCAGTGAACGTTTTGGAAGCTGCCGGTATTCGTTGCGGTTCTTCATAGCGAATGATATGAGTGCGTGTGTGATTGTTCGTTAAACTTTCAGTTGTTATTTTCACATGGCGTGACGCATTCAGTCGGCTAACGGGAAAGCCTCTGCAGATTTTCTAATGTTGTTCCGATGACTGAGGTTTTTTTTTTTTTTTTATGTCTGGGGGTTTTTTTTTTTTTTTGGTTTCAGCGTATTTTTGTACTATAGATGTAATTTAGTTGTATTTATTTTCGTATGTTGGGATGAAGGACGCTGTCGGCCGCGTTTATTAAGTGCTCTCTCTCCCTCGTTATTTTTTATACCTTTCCTTTAGTCGTTTGCCTGATTTGTTTTCATACCAAAACATTAGGGCAAGTGGCCTGTAGAGGACTTGCATTGCCATTTGGTAGTATTTATTTTAAGTTATATTAAAATGTTCAGATTTCTCAGTGGCTCCATGTGGTATGTTCTAGATTAAAGTTGTGATGTAATACTCTTCTTTTTTTTATTTCTATATTTTAATACTGTTTCCGTACTATATATATATATATATATATAACATTTTCTTTTATATTTTTATATTACATTATTACATTGAGCATAACTTTGGTGTGTCCGATGTAATTTTTAACAAAGATATTAAATATTTTTTCCGAAATCTAAACAAGTAACAATTAAAGTATTTAAATGTAGCCAGGTCAAAATACTAATGTGTGTGTGAAGACTGGAGTAATGATGCTGAAAATTCAGCTCTGCATCACCGGAATCAATTACATTTTACAATATATTCACATAGAATAAGAGTTATTTTGTTGTATTTTGTAAGGATACGTGCCGGCCTGTGTGCACAGCTTTAGGGTGAAGTGGTGTTTGTCCAGGTAAATGGTGCTCATGGAGTGGATGAGTCTCTGTCGGACCGCCAGCGGCCGGCGATGCAGGACTCTCAGTGGAGTCTTCTGAGCGATCCTCAGATCCTAAACACGCGCACACAGTCATCAGCACGTCTCTTCTCATGCATCCAGCTCAAACAGGTCAAAAAGCTTGGCAAGACCTTGATATTTGCTAGGAATTCCAGATCAGTGCTGTCGATGGCCTTCTGCGTCCAGATGAAGGCGCTGTAGGTTTTCGTCTTCTTCTCTTCACCCTCTTTCATGCGGCTGGTTGCTTCTCTGGAGAAATAAACACACATCTTAAAAATGCTTTTTTTTTTTTTTACATAGATCTTTGACAATCAATGGATATCTGTGCTTATATGCAACACACACACACACACACACACACACACCTGGTAATGATCTGTAGGTCTCGCACTCTAATTTTATCAGACGACTGGTTGATTTTCTGTGGGACAGAAGACAACAGGAGCCAAAATTCACATGAGCAGGTTTGTGGTTTCAATATAATATTTTTGTGAGCACGTGACTGACAATTAAACCAATAGTTCACCCAAAAAGAAAATTTGCTAAAACTTTCCTCACCCTCAGGCCATCATTAATGCATTTTAAATTTAAAGGGGTCATCGGATGCCGATTTTCCACAAGTTGATATGATTCGTACTGAAACGTCTATCACATACTTTGGTTAAAATTTCTCAATGGTAGTGTAAAACAACACCCTTTTTACCCTGACAAAATCATTTGTGTTCACACAAGCCGTTTCTGTGCATGTCTCTTTAAATGCTAATGAGCTCTGCTGACCCCACCCCTCTCTTCTGTGGGGTGACCACAGTCTATGGGGGTGACGAGCTGTTCTCTGAGAGACTGTAAACTTTAGGCGCGGAACTTGCTAACTAGCACATTAGGAAAGGCGATTTGCAAAGATTCATAAAAAAACCTTATACTCGCTTCTTCTGTGATCACGAATGATTCGCACAAACATAAGATGCATTTATGTAGATCGTGGGGTGCATACCTTTCAAAAACAAAGCTAATCCACTGTGTCTTCAGCGGCTCAGATGTCGGGAGTAAATTACTACAGCTATGTTCATTATTACATCCAACAACAGAACACCTCAATCGCTTAATCGGTGTCATTCTTGTCTACATCTGCTCCGGCGGTGAAACAATGGCGGACTGATGACAGCTCACACAGGGCGGGTCTAAGGTAAAACGCTAGTGTCAGTCAACAGTCGTGGGAGGAGCCTGGGTCTGTGTGATATCTCACAGCCAAGAAGCTGAGAATGGCAAGATATTAAATATTTTTTCCGAAATCTAAACAAGTAACAATTAAAGTATTTAAATGTAGCCAGGTCAAAATAC